GTGTTCTGTTATTCTAGTTGGGGGTCACATCTTTTTTCTCACTGCTTACCACACTCAGATTCTTATGGAGGGAACCCTAGGCATGAATCTCCTGCCACGGTTATTTAATCAAGTCAAACAGCTGTGTTCAGTATTGCCTCCTTTTATCTTGAAAAGGGAAAAGAAATCCCTTTTCTCCCCAGATCACAGTATTTCATACACTTCTGAAGACAAGCAAGTTTGCAACACTTCTGTTCACATCAAGGAAGACCTTGCTTTATAGAAAGTCTCTCCAAAATGAACAGAACAACCTCCAAAGTGACAAAGCATGTATAAAATAAAATCTTGACCTGCACATTACACCAGAAAAAGGAACCAAAACTAGGATGTCCTACAAGCATCTGGGATGCTGTCATTAATACTACTAGCCTACCTTCAGCTTGCTGTCAGTTTGTAGAGCTGCTGCTATGTCTGCCCAGTTTGTTCCAAATGTCAAGCTTGTTTGCTCTCTCATGCATGCTCTCACTCTTTCTGTGTTCCCTCTGGTTTTTAAAGACAACGTAGTGCTGTTTATCTCACTTATCCTTGTCCCTCTGTGCTCCCAGTATGACCCTGGTGCTAACCACAGGTTACTTGAACTAAACACAATACAGAACTCTCAAATCCAGGTGGCACCTGGCAATTTATGAGGCTTAACCACAAAATTCACATAAACAAGGTCGTCTTGTGTGTGACTCCTGAGCTCTGAGATAAGTATGCAGACTCTCTCTGAGGAGCACCTGCACTGTTTTTTAACACAAAGGTTTGCATTTGGCTTTTTTCTTTATAGTTTCATAGCTGGTTTCTTCACTGTTAACTCTTAGAGAGCAGAATATAATCGCTGGCCACACTGGTGTTGAACATCAAAGCTATTTCATTGAAGGTCAATGTCCCACTTCCTCAGGTCAACAGCAGCCAAGCCAAGGGTGAATTGACAACAGGGATCACAAAATGTGTTTCTTCTGATACCAGTATTTAATTTTCATGGATATTGCCTCTTTGGTTGTGTATGTCTGGGGTATTGAAGGCCCTGGGCAGGGAGGACAAATCAATAATATGGAAGTTAGCTATATACATATTGAGTAACTGTTAGATACTTAACCAGGTATAGACCATACATGGCTACAAACAGAGGCCAGTAGAGTGTCTTTCCTGGAGAAGCCCAAGAAGACTCAGGCTTAGTTTCCACAGAGCAACCATCTCAAAAACTGACTAAAAGTGGAAAGAAAACAAATTTTTTCATACAACAGCACCCTGAAAGTTTTCAGTCTCCACGCATAAAATTGTGCGAAAATTCTAGTGATCCATCAAGTCCTTTCAAAAGTGAACATAAGTTCACACTCCAGAAGTAGGAATTTGCAATAGTTGCATAACTACTAACATAAACAGCCAAGCATTTTTCTTTCTCGGGAGACTCTGTGATCCTGCAGGACTCAAATCCATTTTCGACTTGCACTCTCTTCCAACTGAGAAGTTGGCTGAGGCAGGCCATTGGGCTTTGATTGCGGGTCAGGATCTACCAGTTAGTGTGCCTCCTACCTGAAAGCATCTGATGTCAGCCAGAAGAAAAGTTGTACTATTTGACATTTGCTATATCTAAAAGAGGTGAGAGGATTCCCACTCTATTATCCACTCTGATGTTACAATGCTTTCAATTTTTAGAATCATAGAATCTTTTAGGTTGGAAAAGACCCTTAAGATCATCAAGTTCAACAGCAAACCTAAAACTATCAAGTCCACCACTAAATCATGTCCCTAAATGCCATGTCAACATGTCTTTTAAGTAGCCACAGCTATGGTGACTCAACCACTTCCCTAGCCAGCCTGTTCCAACACTTGTTCAGCCCTTTTCATGAAGAAATTTTTCCTAATATCCAATCTAAACCTCCCCTGGTGCAACTTGAGGTGAGGCCATTTCCTCTGTAGAGTAACCCCCACCTTGGCACAACCTCCTTGAAAGGAAGATATTTGGACAGAGCAGTAAGGTCTCCCCTGAGCTTCCTTTTCTCCAGGCTAAAACACCCCAGCTCTCTCAGCTGCTCCTCACAGAATTGTGCTTCAGACCCTTCGCCAGCTCAGTTGCCCTTCTCTGGACACACTCCAGCACCTCAGCATCTTTGTTGCGGTGAGGGGCCCAAAACTGAACACAGGCTTGAGGTGAGACCTCCCAAGTGCTGACTACAGAGGGGCAATCACTGCCCTGGCCTGCTGGCCACACAATATCTCATACAAGCCATGGTGCCATTGGCCTTCTTGGCCTCCTGGGCACACTGCTGGCTCATGTTCAGCTGGCTGTCGAGCACCTCCGGGTTCTTTTCCACCAGGTAGCTTTCTAGACACTCTTCTCCAAGCCGTTCTCTGTGGTGGTTAGTGTCACAGGAATACTGCCAAGGGCACTCTGGGAAATGTAGTTCCTGATACTCTATTGCACATGCTCCTTGAGGTACATGGATGTGATTGCCTCAGGATGGTTTATTACCTTTTGAACTGCCCATATAAGATACTGTTGTTCTCAATAAAGTTGGTTCAGATGCTTGGAACCCCAAGCGTCCGGGTCTGTGCCCACAGTGCCGTCAATTCCCAAAAGATGATGTTTTGGAGAAGTGGTTAGTCCTTAGTGTTTGTGCCACATGGAGATCAACAGTTCCTACTAACTAGTGTAATGATTCATGCCAGAGCAAGTAATGTATCGAGAAAGAAAATAATTTATGGAATATGCAATGCATGGAGAAAGTAAAAAAAGTTCAGGTATCAAACCCTCATATCCTTGCTTAGATTCTGATACACACAAAACCCTAATGTGAAATAAATCCCAACCAGAACTATCTGAATGGGATTGTCAGGATAAGGTGGAAAAGAAGTCATAGATGTCATTCCAGGCCAAGGCAGAGTGGGAGAAGGATGTAATGTCTGAGGCATTTATATACCTCTGAGAATATTAGCTGGCTAGGACCTGAGCTTAGCTCTTCAGTTGTTTTGCCTGGACTTCCTATCAACCTGCCTATTTTTACTATTCACTCCTTAGCATTTGGAGAGACCTTTTCAAAAAAATATCAGATCGGACTGCAATACCAGATATCAATCAAAATCACTCTCTGCAGTCACATACTGAATTCCTCTCTTATCTTGAAATGGCAGGCACCACTCCCTGACAATACACATTGTTAGTTAAGGAATTTCAGGGCTCTTTGAGAAGTTTAGCAAATCTCGCCCTCTGGGGTGCTTATTCAGAACTTCACCCAGGTAGCTGGCTACCTGTACCATTCCCCCAGGAGCTCGAGTTCGCATGCAAAACTGCACTATACAGGCATCAGCTTCTTTATCAAAGGAACCACATGATCATACATAAGCTTAAACAAGTGCTTTATTTTCAAGTACCCAGGAAATCACCTTGAAAAAATATTGTCTTGTAGGGATACAGCAGGCAACTAAAGATTTTAATTTATCTCAAATTGCTACAGCTTTGGATGTGTTTTATGTCCACATGAGCACAATTGGTCATACAATTTCAGCTGCACAGATCCAGTGCTGGAAAATGTTTTTCCTGTGCCACTGGCACCACCGAGTGGAGAAAAGCATTTTTGCATTGCTTTCGCTTACAGCATGAGCATTAATATATGACCAGGGGCCTAAGCCATACAGATTTGGAAACTTCTCAATAAAAGCATTTCATTTAAACTTGGAATAAAAACTCCAGATAAGTTCCTTGAATTCTCAATTAAAATAGGCTGGACCGCAGTGCTCTGGGCACCTTGCCAATTATTTACAATAGTATTTTTTTAGTCATAGAAAACCCTCCATCTAAGGATATTTGTTTTACAAAGTTCCATAATGATATATTTCCTCGTTTTACAGCTAATGAAAAGTAAAACAGAACAAACAGCCATGCTCCCTCGGCAGGAGAAAAAGGATAGCTCCTAAATTCAGCTAGTTGTCCAGGAGAGGGTTTATTATTTATTTATTTATTTATTTATTTATTTATTTATTTACTCTTAATATCATTCCTTCTTTATTGTGATATTTTGGAGCCCTATGTAATGGCCCAGATATCTCTCTCCGCCCTTACTCTTAGCTTCCTGGCAGATCCTAACAAGAAACGTAAATATGTTTTGGACATAAACAGTGCTCGGAGGGGTGCATTAGCGTATGGGATTCGCCTTGGCTCCAGCAGCACCCTGCCGTCTGAGAGCTCTGCACTCCGAGGGAGACAGGCACTGTAGCGATGGCACCGGCCACTGATTTCCAGCTCCCAAGGACCGTGGCGTGTGGACAGAGACACAGAAAACCACTGAAAAAGTGGTTTCACAATCCCTCCACCCCCAGCTTATATCCTCCCAAACGCTGGGAACAGTAGTTGTTTTGGTTTTTTTTTTTTATTTAAATGTGTGTTAATATGAGATTCTTGCCAAGAAAACTCTCCGATGCAAACAACCGAATTCCCCTCGTTCGTTTCTAAGGAAATGAAGATGTCTGTGTGTTCACACTGTGCCGGTATTTCACTTACTTACAACTGGCCGCTGTCCAAACCCCCGGGAGAGGTTCCCCCCATCGCTCGCCCCGAGGGAGGAGCGCACCCGGCCTCAGTGCCTGCAGGGGTTCCCAAGGGCCGGCTGAGGTCGAGAGAGGAAATTATTTCTGATAAGAGTTTGTTTAACACAGAGAAACGGCTTTTTTGCGTATCCCGAGCCCTTGACGCACACACCACTCCCACCCTCTCCAGCTTTCAGTGCCTCGTTTTTAACAGCGTTCACAACGGAGCCCAGAAAAGCATCCTGACGGCTGTTCACAGAAGCCTCAGCAGCGGAGTAAAGGCCGGCAGAACATAAAGATTCAATGCTCACACAAACACCGCCGGTGACGGCTTAATTTCTTTTTAAGGGGCGGGATGACGGCGGCACTGCCCTCCAGCTGCCCTGGCGAGGCGGCCCCGCCCCTGCGTCGCTGCCCCTCCGCGGCGGCAGGAGGCGCTGCAGCGGCCGTGGCGCCTCGGGCGGCCCCGCTCTCTTCCAGCCGCCGCTCCGACGCCTCCCGAGGAGAAGCGGAAGCGGCGGCGGGCGGGGATCGGCCGCGGGTCGGGGTGAGTCCGGACGGGCCGCGGGGGGCGGCCGGGAGGGCGGGGGCTGCGGCGGGCCCGGCCGGCTGTACGTGGAAGCGAGGGCCCGGCCGGTCGCTGGGAGCGGGAGGCCGGCCGGCGCGGGCTTGTGGCGGCGCCCGGCACGGAGCGTTTCCCCCGCCGGGCCGGGGCTGCCGGCTCGGGAGCGGAGCCCGCGCCTGCCCAGCCCCGCGGAGCCCTGCGGCCCCTTCCCCGAGAGCGGGCTCGGGGCTCGGAGCAGGGCCGGGGGTGCCACAAGGGGGGCCTGCGCTAGGGCAGGGCGATGATGGGGCTGAGGCGCCGGCCTGCGCTGCTCCGGAACTGAAACTGTGGCGCGATCTGAGGCCAGGCAGCCCGGGCTCCGAGATACGCTGGTTTACCTGGCTGGCAGCCTGGCTGAAATGACCTTGTGTTGCCTCTTAGCTCCCCATCGCACTGCGGTGGGAGCGTGAGCAGCCCGTGGCTCTCGAGTTGTGGCCCCGCTTGTCTCGCTCACATCAGCTTAACGTGGGCTCTGGTTTTCCCAAGTCAAGTGAAGATACAAAGTAAATTCTTCGGTAACACGTTAAAGGATAATTATCAAGATAAGTTACTATTTCTAAAAACGACAGCTGTGTTTTCTAGTAGAGACTGGCAGTATTTTATATTTAACGATAATTAACACGAGTAATAAATTATGACTTCAGTAGTACTTTCCATCAATTTCGTCTGGTTTAGGTAGGTCACGCTGAGTCTTTTCGTACTTAAACGGAAATCTCAGTGTAGGTGGGAGGAAAATGTTCTAATTATATCCCTTATACCTAGTAGTTAAAGCTTGCCGAAAATATTTCTCTGTGTTTGCCTCTGACAAGTTCTGTATGCTGCAGAACTATGAGCCGTGTGGTTTTTGTGTCTTAGATACCATTGACTGAGTGATAAATACAGGGTTGATTTGAAGTTTCGGTGAGGGACAGGTAGGAAAAGGAATGGGGATCATCTCCCATTCATTTTACGCTGTGTTCACCAACTGTGTTAACACTTGCAAGCAAACTTGCTCTGCCTTTCCATTGTATGAAAAGGCCGTAGAACTAGTCCTTATAGTAAAAGAAGGAAAAAAACGTCACGCTGATAAAACAAGTTGTATTATTTTGTATATACTGCTTTGGGTATAAATCTTCTGCATATTCCACATTACCTTCAGCTTTTCCCAGCAGGTGAAGATTTGTGAAACTCAGGCAGACTCCGTCAAGTCAGACTCCGTCAAATGGCAACCTGTCAAGACAGAAATAGCTTTTTTAGATTAGCTAAGCAAATACAAAAAGGTTTTAGATCCAGTCTGTGAAAACTGGTGATAAAAGATTCTGGGTATAAAGCATGTCAAAAAGACAATGAAAGTAAGTATAAGGTGGACAGAAAAGGAGAAATGTTTTAATTGTTTCAGAATGTCTGCTTAATTCACTGTTTGTTTTACCAGTCTCAGACTGTTTTACTAATGCCAGATACAAGCTTGCAGAGGTAGATGGTAATTAAATCTAGCCCTGAGACTGTACCTAGCAGAAATGGCATTTGTTCGTAGCCGTGCTTCTCCCTGCCTCTTGAAGTGCTTTCTGCCCTGGTATTTACTTTGTCCCCATTAGGCAGCACCTTAACGTCTCTTCAGATCTTTTGAGGGATATAGAAAGGCACAGTGCATATCTCAGTGTGTTCTCGGTGTAGGGAGAGCAAAGGGAGAACAGAGGCCAAAGAGCAGAGTCACTGCCAAAGTAAAGAATTAAATAGTATTGTTCTTCTCACTAACAATCCTTTCCTTATATTGTTATTCTCAACAATTCTCAATGGATTGTATCTAGAAGTTAATAAACCGAAGAAAGGTTGGGGGGATTTTGGCTTGGGTTTCTTTTTTGGTTATGGGAAAACCCATGGAATATTTTGGTGTTAAATACAGTATAGTACACTTCCACTGCTCACTAAAATTAAATTTGTTTTGACATACCTAAGTAGGATAAAATATGAATGTAACTGTGAGTGTGCCACCATCTAGTTTCCTAAGTAACATTCAAGCATGAAAATATGTATGTATGCCTGACAGCATTCTCTCCAAATAAAAAGAAATCACCTGGAAAATTTTGAAACTCCCAAGAGCTGCTCTGCTTTAGCATCAGGAGCTCTTGATAGTGTCTAATGAGCTCTGAATGTTGTTCAATTCTATTTACCTCAAACAAAAATTCTTCTGTGAAGTCTTCAAGTTCACATGGTAAGTATAGTGGTTATCCAAAAGACTTGGAAGTCTTAGCGGGTACTGCTATTAGAAAAAAAAAAATTGCTACCTCAACAAAATATAAGAAACCAGAATTTTTTTTTTGCAGTTACAAGCCCTGCCCAAATCTCTTATTGCTTTGGCTTGTCTAGACATTTGATAGCTTTTAAATGAAAGTGTTTTATGGTATTAATTAAAAGGAATTTGCATAATTTCATATGTTCTGCCTGGATGAGGCCGCAGTGATGATAGTTACAAACCTCATAATGGAAACACATGGTGCTTATCAGTTGTCAGTAGACCATTAATTATTATGCCTGGGAATAAGTGTTGCAAGTATTGCTCCATAAAATTATCCAAAGTCACTCCACTGGTCCGTCAATCTCATGACCCAGAAATCTATACATAAAAAACTGTTCTCAGTGAGAGAGAAGAAGAAAAGAGAGGAGTTTGGCCAGTTTTTCTATCTATGTGGTGCTCAAGGCATTTCCCCTGCTGGATGTCTGCAAGCAAATTAATTATGTTTGTGAACTTCAAGTAAGAAAAAGGATTTGGAGTAGTCCTCTGTATTGATTTCCTTATTTATATGGCTAGTCAGTGTGAATTTTCTAGGAAAGGGCATGTGGAAATTAATTGTATTCAGTACTTAATGATTAATATTAAAAGTTTTCTATCTTATGGAAAGTGATACTTTCTCTGTATACTATTCCTTCACCTTTGCCAAATGCTCAAAGGTATTGTTTCATATTTCAGTATAAATAGGATAAAATGCCTAATTTTATTTCCTCCTTATTACTCTAATGATAATGTGATTTTCCAGGCAGTCTGAAGATATCTTCTGATACCAGCAATATTTTTTGATTTAGAGGAATTTCTGAATTAATCCCATGGCTCTCTGGAGACTGAAAATCTGTAAAAGTTCTACCTAAGCACCATATACTATGGGACTTGACAAATCAGAGTACACAGTTTTGTTGCATGTGTTAATTTAAAATATGGGCAGTTTAAATTCTGTTGTGAAATCTTTGTTTTGTCAATCATAAGGTACATTATTCTTGCAGGAGTTTGCTCTTCTGATTTGAGTGTGCTAGCTCACATCAGCCTAATCACTCTGTAATGCAGCAGTGTAAATAGCAACATAGCACAGGTTGTTTAGTGAAGAAAGGGTTCATTATGGTTTGAAGTTGGAAGAGTAGTATGGGGACTCCCTGTAGTCTTAACTGTCTTTTCTGGGACATGACAGCTTGATCCTTAGGGCATTCCCACATTTCTGCAGCAGAGGTAATGATCAGGCAAGTTCTGTCCGTTACCATTTGGCCTGGAAAGCGCCTCCCTTTCTGTTGTCAAACAATACAGCTGTTGCTTTGGAGAGCGAAATCCACCTTTGCTAGCCCAAGGACTGGGTACCCCTTGTGCTGCAAGCTAAAGCCCATTATCTCCCTACCCATCAGGTGTGATAGGACTTCCTAGCTTTAGAAGAGGGTACTTCAGGCACATTACCAAACACAGTTTAAGGCTTTCTCTGCCTGAGAAACTTCACTCTAGCAAAAACAAGAATTACCATATAATGATCTAGTTTAATTTCCATTTTTCCTGGATCTGAAAGCTGGCTGTTGGGCAAACAAAAAAAAAGGTATAGAGAGCAGTCTAGCAAAGCGTTTAATGTATTAAACTAGTAACATTAAAGCAAAGGATTGATTGTAAAGGCTGTGGTATACACAAGGTATGAGTTAATACTTGGATATTGTTGTACTTGCATTTGACTCAGTTTTGTTTGGCACAGAGGAAGAATGCCAACTATTATCAATAGGAAGAAAAACTGATGTGGGTTTTGGGAGATGTTAGTATGGTTTTGGGATATATACTAGTTTGAATTTTAAAATCCATCCTCTTCCAGCCAAAGCAGTTTTTAAATTCCCCAAGGGAAGAACATGAAAAACTGCTTCAGTAGGCTCACAAGCTGTCTGCTCCACCTTCATTGGGAGAAAGACCTATCATTAAACATTCAAAGTATACTTTTCTGTAGTCAATTTTGCACTAGCACTGCTCTGTTCAAGATTGAATCTGTTCCTGCTCTTGGAGGGTAAAGTAACTGCCACAAGAAACAGAACTAATTCCTACTACAATAGTTAGAACTCACAGAGGAATTGTTTTAAACAATGCTGGAGTGATCAGAGTAACAGCAGTATGCATTTTTATTTGAAAAATTATACCTTGCCCCACACCTATAAATATGTGTGGAGGAAAGACTTCCTTCACAGATAAGATGAAATGGGTAAGAGTAGTAGAGGAATCCTGTCTTAGAGAAAACATGAACAAAGTTTAAAATCTGGTTTTTAAATCACCTTATTTAAGTTGCCTCTTTGTGCCTGAATTTCCAAATTTAAAAAGAGCCAGTGATATTTGCGCTTCTTTTTTTATGAACCACTCGATCATGTGCTGACAAAAAGCTTTATGTAGAAGTGGAGTTTATCACTGAATAAGGGGATTTTTTGTGGGTGTCTGGGATGTTGACTGGTTGCAGTGACTCATTCATTAAAATGACTCTGGTATAGGAGTTTTGTTTCTGTAAACTGAATGGACATACTGCTGTTTCTGTAGAAACAATATAAAGGGGTAAAGAGTTCAGCTAGCGTTCAAAAAGTTCAAAAAGCATTCAGCTAGTGAGATTATACCGACTCAGATCCTGTTTTCTTCCTTATAAGAGCAATATTTGAAATAGTATGGGTTTTTTCCTAGTAACAACCCAAGAGAAGAGTCACACACTTCTTTTCAATTAATGTGAGAACTGAATTTGGGTAAAGTTATTATATTTTTCTCCGTGCGACTTCCTGAATTCCTTTGTCACATCACTAAAGGGATATATGTTCCTCTTTCCTTTCTTAGTCTCAGTAAATATACCCTTGTGGCTTAGGTTTATGTGAATTTTTCAGTCCTAGGCTGGCCAGTAGATTCTAATATCCTGCATACCAACATTCCCACTCCATTGGCCCGGTTTGGTTCCTGTGATTTTTCATGATATGTGGACTAAACATCCTCTGCAGCAGTTGTTAAATAAGTTCTATTAGTTTAACAATGGAAGCAAGTTGGGGTTTTTCCTCTGGAAAGATCTACTGATGGCACTCTAAAAAAAATCTCTGTTACAAGGCATCTTTATAAACATTGATTCTTCTGCTCCCATTCTAAGTTATTGGGAGAGTTGCTCCCTTCATGGGATTAAATTGATCGTGACCTGGCTGAAGCTGCTGGTGAGAATGTACTTGGTGTTTAGTGTGTATTGCTGTTGTGCTTAGGAGCCTTGATTAATAAAGCCTGTTCTGGGTAGGTAATGTATAGGGATAATACATTGGGGTGGAGAACAGTAGAAGTGAACATCTCTCCTTGAGTGCAGTTCCAGGCAGCTCTGCTGTAGAGTTATTTCTGCATAAAGTGAGCACTGCTGACCTGTACACTACAACTCAAAGCTGTCGAACTGCGCTTTGAGGCTCTGTGCCTTAATGGTATTTTGGAAATGTCAAGAACGCTGATCTTCAAGTACTTCTCATACCTCTACATATCTCAACAATATGGAAAGTTACATATTTACAAAACAAAATAAAAGTTCTGTTTTGATTCTAACTGTAGCTGACCTAAATATGGTAACTTTGCCTGTTTGGTTTTGTTCAGTAGATCTGCCTTTTTTTTTTTTTTTTTAAGATCTGGATTGCTGGGGAAAAAAAGCTCATGCAGTATTACCATGGACAGTATTGCCAACTGTTTATCATGTAGATGGCCTAAAGCGCATTTCTGTGATGTTGCATGTGTTCAAAATACATTTCCCAGTAAATGCTAGTTGAGACCTTGTGTGATTAGTATTTCTATTGATGTAATCTTCAGGTATCATATAATAAATACCCAAGTAAAACTACCTGTCTGTCCTCCTCCTATCCATGAACATTTTGTAAAAATGAATTGTGATATTCAAATTCTGATAAAGGCAGGAAAACTTTTACGTTTGTGAGCTTGTGCTCAAGGTAGCCCTGTTCATTCTGCTGGCCCCACCGTCTGCAGTTGTGACGCAGATGAACAATCCTTATACTTTAGCTCTTGATTACATTTGCATCCCTAATATATTTTAAATGATGTAATGGTATTACAGTGAATTCAGTAAGTGAACATTACAAAAGACTTTGCCTGTACTGCTATGCAAAGGACAGTCAAATCTGAGGTTAGTGGACTTGTTTTGCATGCCTGGCTCCATAACCCTCCGATTACTCATACTGCCTTGCAATTGGTGGTAATCTCTGTTTTTCAAAGAAATTTCATTTATAGAAAACTAACCACAGTAGGATTCTGAGAAAATGGTTATGACCATTACAAAATCAAGGCAGAGGAAAATTTCTTGGACATCTAGAACTTATATTTGTTTAGATCTTTTTTTTTAAGGCTCCTTCCTTCAGTGTAGAAACACTGGCCATCTGTTTGGGGATACCAGCACTTTTTCATTTCATACCTATGAGTTCAACCTGCTTGATGAGCAGTGTTTTAAAAGCAGGCTTTAGTATGCCATTCACTGCTCTTCAGGGAAAGGCGACTTGTATCTTCTGTTCTTACAATCATGTCCGTTGTCCTCCCTGCCAGCTAGACTAGAAGAGGCAAAGGAGAGCAAGAACTCTGAGTGCTAGTAATTTGTAGATAGCTTTTGAGCTGTGGAATTATTATCCTTATCTCATGTGTAGCTTTTTACCCCATTGAAAGTCCTGTTGGCAGTTCTAAAATGTTATCAGCAGTGCTGTATATTTGAATTTCATTTGCAGCAGAGCATCTGCTTGGTTTAGGTACTTGGACTTGTATTTTATTTGTGGACCTGCACCTAAATTGATTTGAAACCTATACTGTGAATCGCTGTAGACAGATAATGTTAAATAACATGTATACTGCAAGGAAAATCTGGAACTGAGCTATTGTCGCCCAATAAAACATGATTCTGTACAGCATTTTTTCATGCAAAGTCTGTTTGAATGCCTTCAAAGTAAATAATGTGGAAGGGGTAAAGAGATGCTTTCAGTAGACATAGCAAGGACAAAGAGTATTCCTCTTTTTACAGAAATCATGTAGTCAGATGAAAGAGATTACAGAAAGGGGTGTGTGTTTGTTTGAACTGTACCGACTGGATGCAGTGTTCTCACCTATATATCACAAGATAAGTTAGAAAGATAACGGAATCTGGGAGAAAACCAAACCAGTGATTTTGAGTAGAACCAAATCTGTAACTGTTCCAGTGTTTCTTGTCAGAAATAAATTTTGCTCTTGACTTGAAAGGAAGGTATTTGAATATTTTAAATTAATACATCTTTTTGTCATCTTGCAGTGCATTTCTGTGTAGCACTTGATTAGCTACTATGAGCTTGCTACACAGTGATAGCAGTTGTGGAGCCCGAGACGTGGAAAGCGGCTGCTGTGCAGCCATGGCCAGTGCCTGCAGCGCTGGAGCCAAAGAAGACGGCACAAGTGTCAGCAGTGGGACTGGAAACCCTCCAAGTTCTTTCACAGAAGAAACACAAGGATATGATGTGGAGTTTGATCCGCCCTTGGAAAGTAAATATGAATGTCCAATCTGTTTGATGGCTCTTCGGGAGGCTGTGCAGACACCGTGCGGACACCGTTTCTGCAAAGGCTGCATTGTCAAATCAATAAGGTAAAAGAACATTTGTGGAAGCTGCTTTTAAGAAGAAAGTCACTTACCAGAGCAGTTTAAGGTCAATGTAAACTGAATAGAACTGGCCAAGGGTGCATTACCAATGAGTGCTAATAGAACTCTGGAAATTTATAATTCATTAAAGATGCTTTCTACTAAACACTATATATGGACAAAATGTCATGAGTTTGGAGGTTTCATGAGCTTTAGATTTTGCCATTTATACAAATTTATCCAGGTTATGAATCTAAAAACTTGATTGATTAAACTTTTTCTTTTTAATTATTATTTCAAGGAGCCAAATCCTCCAAATAAAGTCCATTTTTTGTCTAGGATTATGAAATCTGTATTTTGCCTATGATTGTTTCCTTTAATAACTCCAGGAAACTACAGACAGCATGGTTTCTTGGTGCAGATAAGGCAACTCATGCTTTCAGTTCTTCACTTGAAATTAGCTGCTTTCTTGTTGAGCTGGAAGAAAGAATGTGATAAGGAAATAGTCTTGAAAAAATCATTGAGGCAGGAAACCAAGTGGCATATGAAGGAGTGGGAACAAGGTATGAAGGCAAGACCAGACTGGGCTTATAAAAATGAATGAAAGAGCAAGGAGGGCAGAGAGTGCACACGTCCCACATGTGTCAATGAGTATTGGATCGCATTGATAGAAGACTAGATATTGTGCTGTAGGATTTTTCCTTCTCAGCATAAGCCATTTTTTTTTCTTAACAATTGCTCACTTAGCTCAAATGTCACTTTGGTAGGAATCTATACATTTAATTCTGTGTGAGCCGTATATATAATTGGTTCGTTTCTAACCTTACTTTGCACACTTGTATAAAGATCATTAAACTATTTTCAATGTTACCGTGTTTCTCCTTGGCATTTATTTTTAGCATGAAAAATGGACAGTGCTTTCTTGATTGGTTTTTCATACCATTTGTCCGTAGTTCTATTCCATTTCTTTTTCTCCATTGTCCATTATTTGTAGCTCACCAAATGAATAGTATGCCAGCAGTGATGTTCTCTAAATACAGTATTTTGTATGTTTTGTGGGCTTCTCTGTAACTTCTGCTGCGTAAATTCTCAGGAAGAATTTCTTTGTGGAAAGGGTTGTTAAGCATTGGAACAAACTGCCTGGAGGAGTGGTGGAGTCACCTACCTCTGGCATTGTTCAAGAAATGACTGGACATGGCACTGAGTGCCATGGTCTAGTTGATGAAGTGGTGATCAGTCAGACATTGGACTTGGATTCTTTTTTACAGCCTAAAAAATTCTGGTATTCTGCCACTGTTGTATCTAATGCTACTGTATTTTTTCATAGCATACCTTTTGGATCGAGGAGGGGGAAGTGTTGGAGCTGAGAATGAGGAGACAAATTTAATATGCGCTCCCTACTTATGATGGTGGATTCTTTCTAGCACAGAAAATTTGTGTGCATTTGCAGCACAGTTCCTGTTAACATCAGTTTCATCAATATTTCTCAGAAAATACAGAACACCATCAGTGTTCACCCATGACAAGTGACTCACCTGTGGATTCTGCAGAAGCAACTGCACCCAATGCATCCCTTGGTGTTATACATTACCCAGGTGCATGGAAGAAGGCAAAAAGCCCCTGAACCTGTCAGCTTTGACTGTAATCCAATTCCTTAGGCACAAGCAGTTGGCTTCACTTTCTGGCCTTTGCTTTGCACGTTCCAACCCAAATTCTTTCAAGAGGTTAATGTACATAATTTCATGAATGCTTGTAGGCATTACAAGACAGTCGTAATGGTAAAGGCCATTAAATTTTGAAATTCCTTACTTGCTCTCTCTGAGCTTGCTCTGTTTGTTGGCAGTAGCAGTTTTATATTCTTCTTTAACTTGGGTATTTCTGGAAGAAAGAAAATATATCTTTGAATCTTCTCTTGAGATTATGATGTCTATAGATTCTGAAGGTAAATCACTACTTAAATATAATGAGCTTTAGAAATGTCTACTCGGCAATCATTTCAAAGACAACAGAATTCCTACGTTGAAAACTGAGGGGAAAATGACTAAAAATTACCAAAAATGGGTGTCTCATTTCTAGTCTTTCAGATCTTTACAAGGTAAAGCAATCTTGTTTTCTAATCCTTATGCTTCTGCTGGTGAGCTGCGCAGTTACAGTCATTGGTTGGAATTTACAGGACTGAATGAGAAACTACAGTGAACCCAAGCTCAGAACACATCATCTCCTAACAGGAAGATAAATTTCCTTCTTAAACCCCAGGCATGGGAAGTGGTTTCTCTTCCTTTTTAAATTAACAGAGCATTTGCTCTGCTCAAAGTTTTAGATCTCCAAACAGTTTCAATGGCCAAAAGAAGCTTTTGCTTCTTTTACACCCTTTGCTTATTTTACTTCATTTCTATAAATAGTGCTGACTTTTTCAGTGAATACTAAACACAGGTTGAAAGCATTTTTTTCCTTGGAGACTATAGATCATCACTGTAATATTTCAGTTGTTTCATTGATAGTAAAAGTTTTCCCTCATTCCCCAATGAAATCTGTCTTTAGAATGCAGTTTGAGTGAATGCTTGTGAAAGCAGAGCAGACAGTGTAAAGTGCCAGACCTCCCTGAATCCCTGAAGGGCTGAATGCATGCTTAATTGGTATCCATGGATCAGGCTATTGATTTGGATTATGTAGTGTCTACAGAACAATATTGATTTGGAGTATGTGCTGTCCACAGTACCATATTGATTGATGTCATTGAGAAGCTTCTATGGGACGAAAATGAAAATAGAAAGTGATTTTTACATTCTCTAAGTACTGGTTTTTTTCATTAAGTGATTGTCACAGCCTTTATTTGATCAGGAAAAAATTGCTCCTGTTTATTTCTCACTTCCCCACGGTTTAGCTCAAGTGAACACAGAGATTAAGGATTTTAAATGATGAAGGATGTACAAGCATTTCTTGAGTAATCGCTTCTTGTAACTTAGACAAGCAATTATAGTTGTTCATGTTGAAGTTGTGGCTGCAATTAGAAAAAAAAATTGAAAACCTTTTAAAAGCTGGACTCTTAAAACTTACAGTGTGAGGGACGTGATTAGACCTGATGGATTTGATCACAGCATATGTTTGCCTCCCAGAAAGTCTTGGCATCTTTTTAAATAAAGCTGTCTGAAATGCTTTGAAGTGCTTTAAGTCATGGTAGAGGAGAAGCTTATCTATCTAAGTAACTACAAATACTGTTTTACAAATGTTACTGTAAACAAAGTACTCAATTAGAAATTTTAGAAGAACTGAGTTTGGTGCAGTGGGTAATTAAATTTCACTCTAGTCTTTCTTCTCCTGTATCTTTTGTCAAAGCTGACTTAGGGTTTGTAGTAGAGCTTGCCAAATACCAGAACCTCTGTTTATCGGAAAAGCAGAATTGTGAGGAGGGCAGCAGGGAAAGCTTTGGGTGCTAGCAGTCTGTCAAACAGCTGGCATGGCTGCAGTTAAAGTGTATGCCAACTGTTTCAACTTCTAGGCTAAGCCACTCAGTTGTTAAAATCATGAAGCAGGCTTTTTCTGCAAACAAAATTATTCTGGCTTTACTCTTTATACCTGCATTTTCATTTCAGTGAAAATTGTAGGAATATTCATTGTACTTTGTAGCAGATGGTTGTTGTTTTACAGGTACTGTTGTGGGTGGCAGAGTCCTATGTGATAAATACTTTTAGCACAGGAAATCCTTCACTGTAATAGAAGTTAGAACTGAGGTGCATAAACTCAGTTTTGTGATAGGAAATGTATGGCAATGTCTTTGTCTGCCGGTGCATCTAAGCAGCATTTTAAGCACAGTCCTCATACTTGTAAATAATATTTGAAGCCTGTTTAATATACTACAGTGAGTTATTGCTCTTTGTTTACTATACTTTCCTACATTGGAAAATTGCCGTACATTCTTATTTCACCCTTTGTCTGCTATTATTTAAACTGGAGAACTGGTAATCATTATTTCACATTATTCTGTTGTTGGCTGTTATTATACATGATTAGCTTTTCTGTGTAGAAATAAAGCTGCTGTCTTATCAGCAGGCTTACTGGGCGGTCTTTGTACTCTACTAAACAGGGTGTTTGTAACCAAGTTATACCTGTGAAAACTGATTTCCTGTAGGTTGCAAAGTGAGAGAACATTTCTGGGTCGTACAAAGATCAGCATGCTGATCATAGCTCAGGGAGCTCTGAAGCAAAATGGCAAGCTGGGTATTTTCTTCCACTTGTTTGGGAGTATGACTACCAGGCATGTGGTGAGCTAGCTCTTACAAGTAAAACCTGTGAAAGGAAGTTCATTGCCTCTTTCTGAGGTCTCAGCTTTACCTCCACTTCCTCTAGCACATTGCTAGTGGAGTTGCTGAGCAATTATTTCCTTTTCCAACAAAGAACATAAATTCCCTCCTGGTCTCCACAGCCCTCTAGGTTCTCCTTCCCCTCATGCGTGCAAGCAGTGACAATGATCTGGCCTTTGATCCTTGCACCACAAGTGGTCTCTGACATTTTTCTGCCTCATGTATTTTTCCATTTTATTGCTGTTTCCATTAGCATTTCAGCTCAGGGCTTTGATCCCTCATGCCTTTTTAACTGCCTTACTTAATTGTGAATCAATATGTTGGCCTACTGCTTTCAGAATGAGCTGATACTGGAAAATTTGATGGAGGCAATCCCTTTTTTTACTCTGTTTCTAATTATTTTTGTGTTTAAATCCAGATATACAGAACCTGATGAACTGGAACTTTAGTTACCTTGTGCAAGTTGCCTGCATCCGTGTTCCACCATCACGTTCCAAACTTTTGCCAGTTAGCACTTCCAGTCTGTTTGCTGTTAAAATGGCTTCAGATGCAACACTCAGTTCCAAAGCCAGTGTAATTTTCATAGTTACTAGTAGTTTTCATGTCTGGAATTTTTTTGCTCTTATTTACTGTATAAATAAACAAATTGAAGGATAACCAACTGTTCAAATGGTTGTACAACAAAAACAGCAAAATGAGCTATATGAGAAATAATGACAAGTAGATGAAGTAAATCTGGAAGAAAAGAAAATTTTACTTTTTCTCTCAGCTGTAATCGCCTTGGATGTTTATAAAGCGTGAATGAAATTGGAGAAAGTCCAAGAATGTTTAAAGAATTGTTTTGAAATAGTATGTGAAACATACTTTGATGTTTGAGCTATGTGAAGTATTTACACAAACAGGACTGTAAGTTCTTAGTTTCCTTATGTCCTCCTCAAGTTTGTTTCCAGAGTACCTAACATGGCATTTGTACAAAAAAAACGTATTGAGTTAGAAAAGGGCTGCAACCCCACTCATACCACTTCTAGTGAAACTGTGTATTGTCAACTTTTCTGGTGTACCTTCCGTACTTTCTGGTCATTACCACATAAATGCCATTGTTTTCAAAGACTTTCTTACTGTGCTATAACTTGCCCACTAATATCTTATTAGTGTAAAAATATTTTAAAATAAAGGCTTGGAAATATTAGAATATCTTTTTCCTTGCTTTTCTGCATTATAGAGATGCAGGTCACAAATGTCCAGTAGACAACGAAATTCTGCTTGAAAATCAACTTTTTCCTGACAACTTTGCTAAACGGGAGATCCTTTCATTGATGGTGAAGTGTCCCAACAAGGGCTGCAGTATGAAGATGGAGCTGAGGCACTTAGAGGTGAGAATTGGTTTTGAAAACATGGAACCTGATTTTCATGAACAAGTAAAAAGTCAAAATAACTTAAAATAGATACTCATTTATGCTGATTCAGTGCATCGTTCTTTCAAGACTATAGCTGCACGTGTTTGGTTTTGATGAGTCTTTAATTGTAAGTAGGTTATTCTCAAGTGAACATCGTAGTGCATGAAAATTATACTAATGCAGCTTTCTGTTTGGTATCTTTCATGTTTGTCTTTTGATCAGTTCTATCTGTACTTCACACAAGTTGCTTAAAGTTAGTTTAATGTTCCCTCAAAGTAGCTACATATGTTAGTTGAAATAATTACTTTGCAAAATAATATTTGCAGTTAAAAGGATAAATATAAAACTAAATTTTTACCTGAGAGCCTTCTTAAAGCTCTGAATATGTTAAACCCTGATCTTAGTAATGGGACAGTAATGGGCTGTTAAGTCAGCATAAGAGTATAAGGATTTCTTTGCATGAAAGAAAGATTGGGATTTGTTTGTCTTGTACTGTGCTTTCCCTTGAAAACAGATGAGATGATAGTACCTGTTTGTAGTATCATCCCTCTTCTGTCCTTTTGCAGGAACACCAGTTACAGTGTGAATTTTCCACTGTGGAATGTCCACAGTGCCAAGGAACCTTCCAGAAGAACCACTTGAAAGAGCACATGACCCAGGAGTGTCCGAGGCGTCAAGTGTGTTGCCCAAACTGTGCCACATCTATGGCCTACGAAGATAAAGAGGTACTTAGCAGGAGTCTCAGTTTTTCAATCTTCATTCACATGGGTTTGCTTGTAAATAGAATATCAGTTTAAAAAAAAAAAGCAACAAAGTTTTTGGTCTAGAAGAGCACTATCTGCTGCTGCAGAGGTGAGAAGGTACAAACTCAGGATATTAGCCTAGAACAGGAAAAGATGGGAAGAGATTGTTCTTAAATGCAAACTTATTGGGAACCTTGTGGTCTGAGGAGACTTGTGAAAGAACCATTGATTTTTGGCCACCAGAGAGGCCTGTATCTACTGCCAAACGAATAAAAAAGGCAGTATTTACATTTGCTTTACATTTTATGCCTGGGAGAAAGGATATAGCAGGAGATAAATCTTTTGGGGATCTCTGCTAACACTCAAGACCACGATAATTTCTGAATTCTTCTCCTGGTTCTGCGTTTTTTTGCTCATGCAATACCAAGGACAGTACTTTCCTTTTTCTGTTTCCTTTTCTTTATCTCTATATAGATGTGTTTTATCTCAAGGACTGTTAAATTTTATGAAATTCATATTGTGAATTGCAAACAAAAGTACCTTGTATAGTTCAACAATAAAAAAAAAAAAATCTTTAATATAGTTCCACTGCAATTGAACCTGTATTTTAGAAACTTCTGGTTAAATTCAGACTTCTTTGGAGCATAAGAGCTTTAGGAAATAAAATATCTGCAACTTTATGTAGCTCCTGTGTAAGTCCAGGAAAAAACAGTAATAGAAAACATACTATTCAGAGTAAGGGGGGCGACTTTTTTTCACAGTTGCATACAGCTAAATGCAAAATTTGAAATGTAAATAAAAATTTGATGTTTGATCAGAGGTGATTAGCCCTCTCTTAAATTTTGTAACTTTATTGATTCTTTCTTTCCTCTCTTTTTCTGCTTGATCACTAAGCTTCATGACCAAACCTGCCCACTTGCCAACGTGTTTTGTGAATATTGCAACACAGTGCTAATCAGAGAGCAGGTAAGAGACTACCACCTTCTGTGTTTAATCTGGGTCAGATGTTTTGTATTTACATTGCTTCTTTAATATGAATTTAAACTTGGAGAAACAGTTTGTCTACTAGCTAATAAATCTCTACCTATCTCTCTGTGAAAATGTCCAGTACAGGTGTAATACTCTTTTAAATGCTGTTCCAGCTGTTCCAGCTGTCTGGTAAGACCTCTGTAGGATTTTTGGCTGCACATCACATTATTTAGCTGTACTGCTTCTTGACAGGGGACATGCTGCATGTTTTTTATGTTGAATGGAGGTTAAAAAATAGGCAGAGAGTGAGAGTATTTGTAATTGGAAAGCCATTGTTGGGAAGTAGCTATAAGTAGTTCACTATGAAACTGCAGATGCTGACTGGAATTCTGCTTGTCCATTACTATTGTAATAGCCATTATTATTTCTTCTATTCAATAATAACTTCATTGACAGAAAAATGATAAATGTTATTTGATATGCAGCCTATCCTTGTTTGAATGGGATGGCAACTATGTTGAATATCATGTCAAATAATATTGAAGGATCATGTCAAATTGTCCAAATACTTTGAAAAGCAGGATTGAGCTTAGTAATGACAAAGGCAAAAATGTGTTGTTAGGTAGGATAATCAACTGCAGAAATGGGAAACAGAGAATGCTGAATTTGCTAATGGTTTAGATTTAATGACTGACCTGTATTAAACTTGTGTTCTGCTTCATCGTGATATTTAAACAAGGCAAACATACGGGGTTGTATAAACAGGTATTTTGCCTGTGAAACCTAGAATTATCCTTTGCTCTGTTTAGGGCTGGTAAGGCATCAGCTGAAGTTGTCATGCTTTTGAGATGGGGGTGGATAGGGTGGGTCCAGAGCAGTGAGATGGCTGGATCTGGAAACTACAAGAAAATTGAAGTAACTTGCACGTTTTGAGGAAGAGGGTAATGAAGAGAAATACCTTGAGTATGTGCAAGCAGTTCTTCAGAAAGGAAAGAAATGGACTGTGATCTAGCTTGAGGATAGGCTAGCAGTGAAAGGCGTTTGGTCTAGCAAGGAAACTCAAATACTTTCTGATGCCTGATGTAAGAACAAAGTCAATGAATTGTTAAAGGACGTAGTAGTAGGATGTAGAATTTTTATCATCAGCTAATATTTTTGTTCAAAACTTCCATATTCCTTTGAGAAATTATGTAGGTATAAACTGATCTGACTTTAGGTACCAGTTCAGAATCCATCTGGCTGTATCCTTTTTGGATGTTATAAAAGCATACTCTTGATGAAGAAGTAATAGCAAATCTCATTTGTTTTAGATGCCTAACCATTACAACAATGATTGTCCTACTGCCCCAGTGCCATGTTTTTATAGTGCCTTTGGATGTCCTGAAAAGGTAAGCCTTTTATCAGAATCATATGTTGGAAGACCTTCTGCAGGCATTTGTCTGGGGCTTTTTTAATGCGTTTTCCTATTCTTGTCTCATTCACTAGCCCAAATCCTCAGTGATTTGTGGGTTTGTCTTTTTTTGGTTTGATATCAACTACATGTTGATACATTGTCTTTCAATATTGGCTTTTCAAATTTAAAAACTGTGAACTATTTGCTTGATGAACTTGCTTTTATTAGTCCGTGACTGACTGTTTTCTCAGCTTTCACATCAATAAAGTAGCTTCCAGCATTTCTTCCAAAGTTGTGGCCAAATACACTTGTGGCTCTTAGAGTTCCATGAAAAAAACCGATTTTATTAAATTCTAAAGTTATTAAACTAGATACTCTTACTTCTAGTTGTTTACTACCTCTTTGTAAAAATGGATCTTTCCCCTTCATCGTTTCCACATCAATTTTCATACACCATTTGGTACAACAGAACATTTTAGCAAATCAATGAAGGGAATACAGTACTAATTTAAAGCACAGAAAAAAATACTAAATGTATATTTATCACTAACAGTCTTTCACTACATCTTTGTTTTGAGTTGAACAGTGTTATTGAAAGTGTACTCCATAATTAATGATGGTTTAATAGGGAAATAATTACTTCTACGAAACCTGAATCTTTTTATCATGAATGCTCATTAACAAGAAAGTAACCCTGAATATACACATAATGCTTGCCTTTGGAATATTTATCAAGAATGTTTTCAGTATAAAATACTCCATATTTCTTCGTATCTTGTTTTTACTTTCAGGTGCACAGTTTGAAATACACTGTTTCTATTTCTCATTGTATGTACTACTGAAATACCTCATGCCTTTTACTCAAAATTGCCTCCATTTGCAGTGCAGGTTTAAAATGTGATTTCTGGTTACGTTTGATATGTTCCTAATGCCACATCTCTTAAATTCTAGATGCAAAGGAATGAACTGGCACGACATATGCAGGAGTTCACTCAGGTTCACATGAGAATGATGGCGCAGAGTTTTCAAAATATCAGTGTCACTGCTACAAATCCTGTACCCTTCATCAATGGCCTACCCTTTGAGCCTGCCCTCTTCTCACATGTGTCACGTGCCACATATGATTGTAATCCAGAAGTTGAAAACTTCAAAGAAACTATTCAGCAGTTGGAAGGTCGTCTGGTAAGACAAGATCACCAAATCAGGGAACTCATTGCTAAAATGGAGACTCAGAACACTCACATGGCAGAACTCAAACGTACTATCCGAAGTTTGGAGGGAAAGATCACTGAAATGGAGGCCCAGCAATGTAACGGTATTTATATCTGGAAGATTGAGAACTTCAGCGGACTTCAGAAAGCCCAGGAAGAAGAGAGACCTGTTGTCATGCACAGTCCTGGCTTCTATACTGGAAAGCCTGGGTACAAGCTGTGTTTGCGCCTGCATATCCAGTTACCGAATGCTCAGCGCTGTGCTAATTTTATATCTCTGTTTGTCCACACTATGCAAGGAGAATATGACAGCCATCTGCCATGGCCTTTCCAGGGCACGATACGACTTTCTATTTTGGATCAATCAGAAGGCCCAGAAAGGCAGAATCATGAAGAAGTAATGGAAGCCAAACCAGAGTTACTGGCCTTCCAGAGACCGACAGTTCACCGCAATCCAAAAGGTTTTGGTTATGTGACTTTCATGCACCTTCAAAATTTGAAACAAAGAACCTTCATAAAGGATGATACACTTCTGGTGCGCTGTGAAGTTCTAACGCGTCTAGATTTGAAGAGTGTCCGCAGAGAAGGATTTCAGACTCGCAGTACAGATGGACCTCTGTAGCCTGTAAGTCTTATCCAGAGGAATGGAGCCACTAGTTATGTTCTTCCACCACAAGAGTGCTTCATTGTAAATATAGGCTGCGTTTGTAAAAGATCATAGTTACCAACATAGTTGATCTTCACCTGAATGGAACTTTCTTGTTGCTGGTTTATTTTTTTCTGTATGAGGTCATGTATTTAAATATTTGGTATGGTTCTCTATTAAAATAATAAGCTACTTTTGTAGCAAGCTAACTAAATGAAGTGTTGTTAACCAAAACTTAACTGCCTAAAGGAAAATCCTGTTGCAGAACCTGTACGTCTCTGGTAAAATGTAAGTCATGTTGAGAAGTCCTGTAAGTCTTTTCACCTCAGTGCCTCAGATACTGTAACAGGGAAATAGCTAAATTAATAAAGATGAGGAATTTTTTTGTTTGTTTTTTACAGAGCTTGGGAAAGTTGAGACAGTTTCTATATTGACTTATCTAGAATTTTGCATTGGTTATGCTTTTCTTGAAATCTGAAGTCAAGACTTCGCTTATGTCACCTAGGGTTCAGGTATGCTTTGGCCCTTCCTTTCTTTGGAGTTGGCTTCAGGAAGTGGCATGTTGATGTACAGTTGAAGTTAGTATTTCCAAAAGACATGTGGTATTGTTGTGGAGAAGGCTAAACAACTATGAGCTGAGTTCACTGAAGAAATGTTTGTAATATGGTCTGAAAGTACCTCCCTAATTCTCTTTACTTGAATAAATCTTTCTGTAAGTGTGTGCTCTAGGCCCAGAGTGTCAATTACAATTGACAAGAGATATAAAAGTTTAGCATTTGAATGAAATACCTTTGTGCTGAGGTACCCCCTATGCTGAACATTTTTCAGCTTATGAGTGGATACATGAGCAAGGGGATGTACTAACTAGATAGGGTGATACAGGATGCGTTTTACTGTTGTTGAAACCCGAATTTGTACCAAAGCTGAACTTGTGACCTGCATGTATTCGAGCGATCTCTTGGTGTTGTGCGTGACATATGACCTATGTCACCTCCTATGAATTCTCAGTGGGCAGCTGGCCATATCAACATCCAACTGTTGTGTGTATTTCCTGTCCCTTTAAACAATAGAAACTGGGCCACTCTCAGCAATTTGGAGAAGAAGGAAAACCTGCTAGTTCAACAGTGTGAGGAAAAATTGCAGTCCTGTTTGCTCTTAGGAAGAAAATCTGACTTCCATAGTTACTCATTTATCAAACACTAGATTCACTATGTCAGGGATTCATGAGCTTCCTAATATTGCGTGTATTATTATTTTCTGTACTGACTGTATGCCACATAAATGTTGGTTTTGACCAGTCAAAGCTGAGTAGTTCAATTTCACTGGTGCTAAAAATTTTAACTTATCATGGTGCTGATAAAGTTCTGAATCTTGTCTTTAAAGGAGGGAAGAAAAAAGTTTTGTCCACCCCATAACCTAAACAGATATTCTGATACAGAAGAAAGAATTAAATGATACGTAAGCATATGTGTATTATTTATCCATGCTAGTGAAGTAACCTAAAGACTGCCACTTAAAAAATAGTAAAGAGTATTCCAACTATTTGGCCTCATCAAAGCGGTACCATGAGTATCGTCAGTGGGGAAAGGGCACATGCTTAATACATACATATACATACATGAGTAAAGAAAGACTACTGTAGTATATTGATTTGGGAGGATACTCTGCCTGACTGCATGAGATGTAAAAGTTCCTGGACCCAAGCTACCACATTCATCATATCCAGATGAGTAAAACTTCTTCTGGAGATAGAACCTCTTAGATGAGGGGTTGTGTTCAATGGAGTGTTGTCACTGCTGAAACATGAACTTCCTGGCTAATGGTAAATGCAGTTGGTCATTGAGAACTTCATTGTATTCTCTGTGATTAGGGAAGGGGTGAGCATATATTAAAATAGGAAAAGATCCTTGCTTTAAAACTGTGGGCTTAAGCTTCTTAAGTAGTCTTGATGATGAATAGCCTCATCCTATTAGCTTTCTTGTTTCAGTGTCTTCAGTTAGAGAATGTCCAGTTAAACCATTCTTAACCAAGAGCTGTTAATGTACATAGCAGTGCACAGACCCACTGTATACAGAAGGTGCTGTACACTAGTTCTCCATTTTCAAGCTATGTTAGTTATACTTATTTTTTTCAAGATGCTCAAAAACTGCCATTGTCTCCTTTTTTCCCCCCTTTCTCTTTTTTTCAGGGGGTGGGGTGGCAGTCAGAAGAAACTCTTGTAATTAGAGAGCTTCTTCCTGCCCCAGGTCCTTTATCAGCCCTAGTGGTAATAATAAAAATGTCCTTGCTCTGTGTTCACATTGGTTATAGCCAAGATCCAGTAAGTGCATTAACACTTCCTTTGCTTTTGAATATTTGCATTCTGAATGGAATTTTTACTTTGAACCATATCTGCAAGATCGGATGTACTTTGCCTCTGAGGAGGAAACTCAGTTTGGTGGCAGAGTTTTAAGTGATTCAGGTTAATACAATAGCACAAGCCAATAGGGAATAGAAGGCTACTGCATGTATAGGACTGCATTGGCCACAGTAATATGAATGCTTTATTCACTGCTGCTATTCTACTGGTTTTGTATTTTTATATTACCCACTAGAACTCTTGAGAGATGTCAAATTACTGTAATGACAGAGTTTTACATGCGAGACTTTCAGTGCTAATTTGCTAAGTATCGGTTAGATCTTATTGTCATAAAAACACCTTGTAAATGTTAATGAAATATTTATTCATAATATTCATGTACTTGCTCCATTTTCCTCTTTCCCCTTTCTCCAAATCTCTTCTTTTGAGAACTTGTTTTACCACGGTAGATTGAGGTATAATTGCTAGAACTGTTTAAATGGAAGCAGAAAGGTATGCAGCATTGAGAGTTGTCTCTAAAACAAAGCCGAAGAAGAATGGGAATTTAACCCATTTCCTGTGTAATTCATTCAGCAATGGAGTTCTTTAGTTTTGTAACTCAAAGCTTTGCAGCATCACTGGATCTCGAGGTGATTTAAAAAGTGGCTTAGCTTCTTTTCCAAATTTCTGTTGTCTTTGATGTGTCCTAAGTCACCGACTTAATATGTGTATTTGCAAAGCTGCTATGGCACAAATTTACCAGTGATAATATATTACAAATATGTTACCTTTTGCCTCTAAATGTCTTCACCTGCAGGGCAGGGAAAATTATTTTACTAAAAATAATGTGTGATGTATATGTGGGAGCTCAGATAATGTGAGATGTATAGACTTGTTTTTTAAGTGGTCTCATGATATGTCTGGTCATGTTTGCTATCAATGAATTAAACTTGCTGATGAAATCAGAGATGGTGACAGAATAAATACATTTATGATGGATTTTAAAGATTATTCTGGGTTCAATGTTAAAGGTTTATATTGGTTTGTGTTTGAACAAAAGGAAAGTACTTCTATTCCCTTTGATGTATTGATCGATAATTTAATATATTTTGTAATAGTGCACAGCAATATTTCTGACAGAACTTTAAAAAATAAACTAAGTAAACTGTGCACTGCATGTTGCATCTTTATTTGTATGGAGGGCTATTCAAAAAGTTTCACTGATACAGGACCTCTGTGGTAGTTTCTCTGTCTTGTGAGTTTCAGGTTGGCTGTTTTTTAATGCAGGAGACCATGTATCATATAGCACCAAGAAGGCAACAGATATTTCAAGATAAAAATTTCTGGCATTTATAACGGGCATGGATAATTCATTACTAGAAGATATAGCTCATGTAGTCGATAATAAACTAAATGTTCTCATGATCATCCTGTAATTTAAGAAATCTGAAAAAAATTGCACACTGTCACCTCGATGACCACATCTACTTGCTTGTTATGTTTGTGACAAAAGTAATTATGGGTTGAAGCTTTGTTCCAAGATACTCAGAGCAGAAACAAAAGGGAAGTAAGTGCTTCATTGAAATCTGCTGATTTATCTCAACCACAAACATTCTGGATCTGTTTTTTAACAGCATCTGCAGGAAGGGATATTCCAAACTTTCAAATTCTGAGTAACCTTAATGGTATTTATAGATATAATATCTAATGCACTGCGGTTAATGTCAAGTTAATTATGACCTTATCTTTCATCCAGGTTGGTCCTAATAGCTTCTATGAGTAATGGATAGGAAAATATGGTCAGCTACCAGTTATTTGTTTTGCTAATACATCTTTATTGTTTCATATTTTGAGGGCACTAAAGTCTTCTTTTGATGAGATGAAGTAATAATGACCTGTTTTTAAGCAGGAAAACTAGCTGCTTCAGATGCACCAGTGAATGGAAAGTCCACATGAAGAAACAGAAGATGCCAGCAATATGAAAGTATGTTCACACCCTTGTAAATACAAATGTCTGTATACCTGTACCTTTCTGAAAAAAAAATGGCTGAGCTAGATGTGGACCAGGATATTTTGACTGAATATTTTATTGGACAAATACCAGTTCATTGCAGTGACTTCACAAGAAGAATGTGTTTGTTTTACCTAAATCCTTACTAGTGCCAAACCAGTTGCTCTGCTGCCTTGCTCATCCCCCAAAAGCACTAGCCCAACACTAAAGGCTGTTCCATCTGGAAAGAGAAAACTCCCTGTGCCATTCCTTCCTATATTATCCTGGGTAAGTACATGAGTACACACAGTGCTAGACTTCAGCTGTTTATGCTGTGTTTCTCGCTTAGAAGCTGTGACTATTTAGCCTGTTCCAAAACAGCATTTACAGAAGCCCACAAAACTTAGTAAATTAGCCCTGAGTGTGCTCTTAGCATATACAATAATTACGAGGCAATAGAATGGGAGGTTAATGGAACAAAAATGGTGAGTAGGGAATCTAGGCCTGTCTGGATGAAATGAGTAAGATGGCTGATGAATTCTGCCTGTTAGTCATCCTTGATTAAGAAAAAAAAGCCAAAGAAACCCAAACCCAGACTCATGCCACTCAGATAGGAAATTGTTATGCTGGCAAAAAAAAATTATCAAAGGAAACACTTCAGTGTCACGACTGTCTCACCCTCACCGTTTGCCCACCACTGGGTCTTTGTCTGTTCCATCTGGAAGGAGCAGCTTGACCATGCTGGACTGAGTGGACCCTGGTGCTGCCACCACCCTTACAGGATCTGACAGTCTTAGTGACCTGAAATACCAAATGCTGGGGTCTGTGGCCTTCAGGTCTTTTTCCTTTACTGGTTTTAAGTTTTTTTATAATTAAACCTAACCTCCTTAATAAGTATATATGTCTCTGAGCATATAGGCAGCTATATGCTTAAGTTATTTTAAGTTGCTTAAAGCTTGTCAGGGCTCAGGATATGTGAAGAGTTAGTGTTAGTTCTGCAGTCTTCTCCAGTTTGCAAACTGCAATAAAAAAGCTAACCCACAGACAGAACTGTCCTTGTTCTCCTGTCTTTTCTTTTTTTTCATTTCCTCTTGCGTGCAAGGAAGCAGAAAGATTCTGTAGTAGTAGTCGTCATATCTTGAGTCCCTCCTCACTCATATTTGATCCCAAGCAGAACTGTTGCCACCACTTCTCATCCCTTCTAAAAGATTGCAATTTTCTCTGTTTAAAAAAAAAATTGTAAAAATTAAATTACCTTGCTATCGTGTGCTGAAGGGGTGGCAGATAAAGACTGAGCTACAGCATCATGAAGATAATCTTTCTGCTCAAATCCTGGGACCCTACTTCACTGTCTAGTCTTTCGGTGGTCATGTTCTTTGAACCCCCTTGTTCTGCAGAAACAACCATTTGGGTTGTGCAGCTCTGAAAGGCTCATTTTAATTGGGAGTTTTCCTCTTGAATGGAGTAGGAAAATTCCTAGACTGTATGAGAGGAGGAGATTGTGCAACAAGAAAATAATTTCCTTGTTAGCTGCGGTCCCAGCCTCAACCAGTGAGCCTCCTTTTCCTTTTGGTTTGTGCTCTGACTGGTCTCTGTGGCCTAACAGCCCATGAGTGTTCCTGAGTTTAGTGATTTCACCCTGCTCCTTTGTCCCAGTGAGGTCTTTGTTGCCTCCTGGATCTAGCTGCTCTCCCACCAACTGCAGATGTTTATTCCAGCTGGTGCATTGCCCCTCTCAGCCAGTCACCCAGTGATGAAGGAGGAGAAAAGCCTTGGTCTATTCATGGTCCTGAAGATCCTAGCTGATAGTTTCTGAGGTATCAGCAGGTTTGACTTAACTCAGGCAGACCCAGCAGGTGCTAGCCTAGGGCAAAATGGATTCATAGACCAATACCTATGTTTTCTGGTACCTTTTGTCCAAAAGACTTACCCCACTAAACAGTGAAGGGGACAAGGCATAAACAGAGCAGTGTTTTAGCAGTTGGGTATTGACAATTTTGGAAAAAAAAGCCCGTCCTACATTCCCTTAGCTGATTAGAAGCAGAGGTGATAGCTGTGATAAACTGTCCAAAAATATGAGTTTTCAGTTTCTTAGCCCTCCCAGACAGAACCTGATTTCTATGAAACTCAGCTGATAATTGACACGCTGGAGAAAAAAAGAAAAAAAAAGAAAAAAAAAGACAAGGTAACAATACAAATCTTTCCTTGTCTCACTTGACTTGCAGAGTCCTTACTCCTCTGCTACAGCCCTGTATTGGTAACATTGGTTTTCCCTTCTGTCTTCAGCAGCAGATACTCCTCTCTCTCACTGCTCACTCAGCACCGGGGTGTCAGGTGAAGCTGTCATGTGAAGTCCATGAGTCTGACTTTTTAAGTTCTGCTGCAGTATGCTTGAGTTAGCATTTTTATTTCCATTTTGGTATTCACGTATGCATGCACAGACTTGTTTCTCTCCAAGATTTAACTTTGTTTCTGTCACTGCCTTTCATAAAGTGGTGATTTCAGCCAGGTATGAACTTGGGCTTTGCTAACAGGGTGTTGAGGAGCCGTGGTGCTGCCAAGGAAAGTGACACATACAAGATTTCCTAGTTTCAGTATCACACCCAGGTGTGATAAACTTCACACAGTGTGGAGTTTAGACTTGCCTAAGCAGGTGTGTCCAGTGTGATTCACCTCCTAGAAACAAGTCCTTCAGCTTGAGTTTCTTCATGCCAAAGGCCTTTTATAGGCGTGTACCTGTACTTATCCTTCTAGCTAAAAGGCAGGGAAAGAATCAGTATTTTAAATTCAATTCAGTGATCTGTACAGAGTGTGGATTTGGATCCTCTGGGAATGGAAGGGGTTAGGCTTTAAATGGGTAGAAAACAGGGATCCTGAAAGGTAAGTGAGTACTGTTGGGAAAAGGAAGGTCAGACCACCAAACACCATGACCAAACAATTAGATAGCGGGACAGTGATGAATGCCCACTCTGGATTTCTTGTTTCCTTGTCCACTGCTTTCACCAATGGAAAACAGGGTGTGAATGCAAAAGAGCCATATTTTAATCTCTACCTCTTTCTGGCTCCTGTATATTCTCAGTCCAGTTGTAATAGTCTCAGATAAATATAATGATAAACTCAATTAAAAAATTATATCATGTATATAAAAAATTTTTTTAAATAGTAATATAGTATTTATTTACTATATTAAGTATATACAAATGTAATTATAAATAGATCATATATAATACACTGAGTATCTCTATAAAAGTAAAAACAATAAAAATTATCTATCTTTATAATAAAGATAGCACCAGTCTAGTCCAACTGTCCCCAGGTTTTTGAGACAGAACTGTGTATCCAACACCTTCACAAGTCCTTTCCAAAATGAGAAAGAGGGTAAAAGCAAGGGTAAGTAATTTCATTACAGAATTGTAGTTCCTCGTGGTTCCTTCAAGCTGCGTCTCCAATACTGTGTTCAGTTTTGGACCCCTTGCAGCAAGAAAGACATTGGGGTGCTGGATGTGTCCATAGAAGAGCAACGATGCTGGTGAAGGGTCTGAAGCACAAGTCTTATGAGGAGCAGCAGAGGGAACTGGAGTTGTTTAGCCTGGAGAAAAGGAGTCTTGGGGGGGACCTCATTGCTCTCTACAACTGCCTGGAAGGACGTTGTAACAAGGTGGGGGTCAGTTTCTTCTCCCAGGTAACAAGTGACAGGATGAGAGGAAATGGCCTCAAGTTGCACCAGGGGAGGTTTAAATTAGATATTAAGAAAAATTTCTTCACTGAAAGGATGATCAGGCATTGGAACAGGCTGTTGAGGAAAGTGGTGAAGTCACCATCCCTAGCAGTGTTCAAAAATGTGTAGAACATGGTTTAGTAGTGGATTTGGTAGTTCTGGGTTAAGGGTTGGACTTTATGATCTTAGAGGTCTTTTCTGACTTTAGTGATTCTGTGAATCTATACATGGAATTTTTGTTTTGGTCTTAGTCTTTTGCTCTTTGGGGCCCATCATAACAAATATTTATTTTCAGCCGAGACCTTCCATACCAGTGTACGTTAGCTCATTGTGTTACTCCACCTGCTGTGGGTGCAATACCATGTGCTAGGCTTTCATCACATGCTGTTTTCCTGCCTCTCCTTCAAGCTGGCACCCACTTTCCACAGAAAAACCCATGCATTTTCTCCCCACCTTTTTCAGCA